TAAGGCTTTAACATAAAATACATATAGCATAGTTAAACAAAGACTTTAAAACTCAAAAGCTATATATATATATAAGAAATATATCGTGTTAGTTACACTATTTATAACTCAAGAACGGCTGTACGGGTTTGATGAAAATTGGAGGAGAGATAGCTTAAAACAAGGGAAAGGATATAGAATACTTCTCATGCGATTGATAAAGAAATAAATAAGTTGATCAAATCCAAAACCTTCTTATCTACTGTCTTTAAGGAAGAACAGAGTTCGCTCGGTCAGCTATACATTTCTTATTCAGAAACTAACGCAGGCGAAGTCACGAGAAAGAACTAGTTTGATATATTTAAGCCTATATCCGCATGAAACGGGAAGAATCTATTCGACTTAAACCTAATGAGGTCGGATAAAAGACTTTGTATATATATAATACGAAATAAAATAAGAAACTTGCCAGCTTTATTCCTTATATGACACGTAAAGATTCTTAATTCGGCCCCTCTCTTGGCGTAGCGTATTCGCCGCATTAGTCCAAATATTTGTACGTAGTCCAAATATCACAAACACAACATCCACACTTGGCATGCCAACAGCACGTTTTTACGCGTTTTCGCTTATTTGTGTGTGTCTTATTTGTGCAAATACGTCAAATGAAGACGAATAAATTAGACACATGGTCTTATTTGGCCGAACGTAACAAATAAACTCCAAGTGAAGTGCCACCTTTACGTGTAATCTGTTGATTCTTTTCCATGTTTGAGTTTTTTACGTACGTAATTGTTTCCGTAATTTTATAATAATAAAGTTAAACGTATCACTGTTACTATGAGCACCACGTGTTCCGTATTAATCAACGAAGCTCAAAATGTTATTACGGAATAATAGGAGCGCATCGTTATACAAGTTACAAGATGAAGCGATAAAAGAATACTTCATAGATTCAGATAAAATATACATAACACTAGACAAACTAGACTTTTTAGTAAATAAATGTATGAAAAAAAAGTTGTTTTCATACGTAGAATAACAATAAATCTAAAATTGTATCTTTTTTGTTGCATAATATCTCAAATATATATATATATATATATATATATATATATATATATATATATATATATATAAATATATAATTCTGATCTGTAATCAGAATATTTATATAAAGTATATATGCTTTGATTCTCATAGATATTACAGAATAATGGTTGAATGATTTTAAATTTTTTATCGTCATAAGCGTATACTATCACATTAAACTCACATCGCTCATCGAGCGTGCGACAGACGTGGTTTTTTATTTATTTTAAATACTCGGACTCATACTATAAAAGAGTATTTATATATTATAAGAAATTAATTTAAAACCATTCTGAATGTACTGTACCAGTAATATTAAATAACGAACAATAATCGATTTTTTTTCCATTAAAATCGTAAAAAATATATATTCGACTTTACAATTCAACTAGCATGTGCCAGTGACTTTGTCCGCGTTAGTTTCATAATTATAAATGTATAGCTGACCAGGCAAACTGTTTCGATTTAGTGGCAGATTTTATTAGCAATTTTTTTTGGTCGAACGAATTCAAAAGTATCATTTGTTCCTCTTCTGATTCTAATCTACCAACAATTAATTTACAGCCACATTCCTACAGCCGTTCTTGAGTTATAAATAGTGTAACTAACACGACTTTCTTTTAAATACATAGGATATACGTACATATATAATATAATAATAATTTCAACGAATACTTTAAGTCGCATAAATATCCGCTTCAGTCAGTAACTTGACGCCTTGTAACCGGAATTTGTAGTAAAAAAATATACGAGAAAAAATACCCATCAATTTCGCATCACATGGCTCGAGCCTGCTTTATAAATTACAGGCATATTACAGAAATACTTTAATATTAAACAAAGTTATATATATAATATTTATATCGTTCTGAAAACGATATAGAGTTATTTTCAAGGCATTTTTATTTTATGTGTAAGTAAAAGAAGATTTTTGATAACTTATTAAGGTATAATTTCAACATAAAATGTATGTAGAAAAATTATTTATAGCGGTAAGAAAGGTTTGGTTTAAATATAGGCATAGTAATCATAAGGATTAATTAAAATAAAAATATCATTTTTGTAATTTTAATGACACATTTTTCGTACATCAAGGTTTTGTTTCTTTGGAAAAATTAATGAATTGTCCTGTCAAATTTAATTTATTAAGACTAGCATACCTGAGATTATTTTGTTAGATTTAGTCTCTGTTCATTGAAAATGATTTTGACTTATTTAATAGAAGTTTTTAACATAAAAGAAATGGATACATACATAAAAAAATAACATAAACATAAGTCACATAATAAAACTATAGTTTAAGGAATAACTTCGTTTATTTCGTCCTATATATTATGGGAAGATTCAATTACATTAAAAAAATCGTGATCACAGCAATGAAAAATATATAACTGTCTATCATATAATCTTATTATTTGTTATCTACATCCAACTATTTCTGTTTTCTCCTGAAGTATTTTGGATGCAACCTGATTAAGCGTTAATAAATTCTCAAAAATTATCACGTGATGAAAAACAATGAAAATATAAAGAAAAACATATGTTACTCAACATAAGTTTTCAAATAGGTAGTGCTTTTCGTAAATATTTTTCAGCAGTTTTTTTAAGTTATTATTGAATCGACCTAAAGGATATTAAAATCAGGTAAGACATCAATATTTGCAGCAATTAAAAAAAACTTATTTAAATTACTTTTTATCATATTTTTTCCAGCGTTCGCTTGTTCGCTTGTTTGTATTTAATATTACCCATATTGAATTTCTTAACAATTTATACTAATTCAAATAACTATTATAAACCTTAGTCGTCTTTTTAATAACATATGGGTGATAGAAATATTTTCTTCTATTATTCTTTAATTTAGGTACATAGACATTCTTTGGCTCCGATATGTCGAATAAAATCGACGATCTCCTTTTGTTTTTTTTATTCTTTACGACGATAAGTATATTCGTTACTTTATGTTTCTTGTATAAAATCTTATATATACTGTTTTGTTCTATGATAGAAAATAGTAAATTCAATTAAATTTCATTTAATCTGCTGTAACCATTTCATTTGGAAATTAGATATACAATCTTTATAAAATGTTATAGCTCGTATACATTTATTTATCTTACCTATAAAATTTACATAATACGTATTACAATAAAAGCCAAAAATATGTAGTAAATTTTGATTTTTAATTATAATACAGCCATATTTTAATAAAATAACATATTTTTCAAGAAGAAATACCTTTATGAGGTGATAAAACCCATTTTCGTAACTTTCGAAGTTCATTCAAGTTTATCGTGAAAATTTAAAAAGGTCCTTTAATAGGTTTTTACTTAAATTATATCTCAAAGAGTACATTATCATAAGTTTCACTATTCATAAACTTCGGGTGGAGTCCATTATTAGAAATATGTCAATAGACGTGATGTTACAAAGTTTTTTAGTAATAACACACAAACAATATTAATTATTATATATTTATATATAGAAAGAAGACAGTATGAAACTATGGTTTAAACATTTTTATATTCCTATAAATATTTCATAAAAAGAGTATTTAGACACAAGTGACAGACGGTGAAGGAAAACATCGTGAGGAAACCTGAATAATTTCAAATTATAAGTTTGAAATCACCAACACGTTAAGCAAGCGTGGTGATTAATGCTCAAATCTTCTCCATGTGAGAAGAAGCCTTTGCTCAGCAGTGGGCGCTGATAGGAAGATGATGATGATGAAATATTAAATAGTAAAAATAATAAATTTGTTCACACTTAAAATATGTAGTTTTAAAATACTCGCAGCAAACTAATGGGTTTATATTTATAATATTTTTTACGTTATATTTTTTTTAACCGCTTTGGTACAAAATTTACCACCTACGGTTATTTTATTGAGTTTTTCTGTTTACTATAATAATCGACGATCAAATAAGTTGCTAGCGGTAATATCGAATAAATAAAAATGTATCTAGATTAATATTATAAAGATGAAAAAATTGCACTTATGAGGATGTAAGTTTATAATAAATAAACTCGAAAACTACTGTCCAGAAGCCAAAGTTCATTCACCTTGAGTAACATAGGCAATATGTATTGATAGAAAACATTGTGTAGTTCTGCGTTTAAAATACATAAAACAACAAAATTGTATAAATAAAAGGAAAAAATGACGAAAATATGTACTTTCGGGCGAATCCGGGACGTCTGGCTAATAAAGCCCTTGAATACTACATAAACATATACTTTAGACTAAATAATTACTTAAAAATACACATTATAATAAGATCTAAAATAAATTTATAAAGTTTTATGGCACATCAAATTATATTTTTGAATTAACTCACTATAAAATTAATATAGGATCTAATAGGAATATGTTATTTTGTCTATTTTGTATCGACAATATCACTCATTACGAACTAGTAGCGCCATCTAGCGTAAAGTATGTAAGTCTGTGGGTATGTTCGTTTAATTTATTAGAGAGCTAGTTTTTGCCCGCGACTTCGTCCGCGTTAGTTTGGTCAAGAGTAATATATGTAGGTATAGCTGACCAGGCGAACTCTATTCCGTCTTAGAAGCCATAAATAATCAGGTTTTTCCTGTTTCAATCAAACAGAATGATTGACATATTAGTTGTCAAATCTAATGTTAAAAAAACGTTTGTATGGGAAATAGAAAAGGGCTGTTTTTAGGGTTTTTCCGGCAATTATTCCAATTTTTCTCACCTTTTAAACCTTCCCTCGAATTTCAGAAGTATTTCAAGACTAAAATTAGCCAAATCAGTTCAGCTGTTCTCGAGTTTTAGCGAGACTAAGGAACAGCAATCCATTTTTATATATATAGAGAGATAATTGTGAACTAACAAAAAGACTGATCTTCTATCTTATCTAAGATCTTTTTATGCATCAGATAATAATGAATGATCTTTACAGGAAGGTGTGGTGAAGGCAGTCCCTGTGAACAGCTGTGCAGGGAACTTCATGATGGGACGTATGAGTGTGGCTGCGGGCCAGGGTTTGTGCTGCATGTAGACGGCTATGGCTGTATGGGTGAGTTAACACGGAATTTACATATATAAATCAACAGTTAACATCAGTAAGTCGAAGTCAGTGGTGGCCTAGTGGTTAAAGGGCCCGCCTCTCATTCACGAGGGCGCGGGTTCGATCCTGACCCGGGCAAGTACCTATGTGATTTTTCGGAGTCATAGGTACTTTCTGTGAGTATTTAGACATCACTGATTCATGTATTCCCAAAGAGGGTTGATGTCAGGCAGGCGACCGGTCGTAAAAACAATTAGCCAAGACTATTCACAACATGTGAGGCAGGCAGACCCTGGTTAAAACTGGGAAATTGTCAGGTAGAAGAACATTTAACATCAGTTTGTCAACAGTTAATTGAAGTAAATCGACAGTAAATATACATTTATATTCAAGAAAATTCCCACTTATACATATATTAAAATAAGGTTTTATAATTAAAGCAAAAGCTTAGCTTTCAGTTATACTAATAATGTTAAGAATTCTTAAACTGAGTCTTATCGCTTCTTATCTCTCTTCATCTTATCAAATTAATTAAATTCTCTTCTACATTTCTTTTACATTCGTCTACAATTATTGCTTTGAATGCAAAAACCATTTATTTTAAACCATGTATTTTAAATTGTGATTAATTTCAAACCTTTCCTCTAAGTCTTGGTTTGTAAGTTTTATTTACTATAGTTTTATATTTTCTTAAATTAATACATCACAAAGTACTATAATAAAAGATGATTTAAAAGAAAATATTTTTCCATTAAAGTATATAAGTACTTGAATACAAGTAATATATGAATCAGAATATATATAATGTTTTGTTTATGTATATAAAGTCGTTAGATTTTTTCCACGATATAATGTAGCGCGATTCCGTATTGAAGAAGCCATTAATAAAGTACCGCCTGTTCTCATAAATCATGATCAAACCATCCACTTTCCATGCTTCCTATTTATTAGAGTCATTTTTTTTCGGTTCGGTTCAGTTTTCATATTTATTTCAGATAATCAATCAATTTTCGTTACTTTGATAGCACTTTAATTAAACTTCTATATCAATTATGTTTGATATTTTATAATAAAATCTCTTTAAGGATTTTAAAAGCCAATTTTGTTCCTCATTCTAGCAGTAAGATATCCAAGAATTAAACAAAACTATCTTTAACTGTTATAATAACAGTAATTTGATCTTCTAAAGTAAAATAACAATAAAATGTTATCTATATTAAGTTTAAACAGTACCATTTTGAGATTAACAAAACATTTTCTCGACTGCTCACATACAGGGGTTTAAAGATATGTGCCAAAAATACTTTGAGATTAAAACTTTATATGATTTGCATAAAGACAGTGCCAAGTTCTCGTTAGGTTTAAGCAAACAGTAACATGCTATAATGTTATTCAAATTAAGATGGTTTGTAATAAAATGTATCTTTAAATATAATTTTAAATAAATGAAGGAAATTTATTACAATGTAAGCTATAAGCTATATACTATGTACAGGTTTTTGTAACATAGTTTTAATTGATACAGATATTTTAATTCAATAAAAATTTGGGTCTGTCCAGAACTAATATTAATTCATTCTTGGAACGTATTTGGAAAGCAGGCCTAGTAGATTCTTTTCAAATTTGGTTAGGTAGAGAGAGAAGCTTGGACAGTGGAGATGAGTGTATATCGCACGTTAGATAGGGTCCCTTAAACCTACACCTGGGTCGCAAGTCCCAGGCACTGTTGAAGCTCCTCTCACTACAACGATGGACCCGACACACGCACCGTGAATACATTGAATGATGAGAGGTTTCGTCTCTCTATATATATTAAACCTACACCTGGGTCACAAGTCCCAGTCACTGTTGAAGCTCCTCTCACTACAACGATGGACCCGACACACGCACCGTGAATACATTGAATGATGAGAGGTTTCGTCTCTCTATATATATTAAACCTACACCTGGGTCACAAGTCTCAGTCACTGTTGAAGCTCCTCTCACTACAACGATGGACCCGACACACGCACCGTGAATACATTGAATGATGAGAGGTTTCGTCTCTCTATATATATTAAACCTACACCTGGGTCACAAGTCCCAGTCACTGTTGAAGCTCCTCTCACTACAACGATGGACCCGACACACGCACCGTGAATACATTGAATGATGAGAGGTTTCGTCTCTCTATATATATTAAACCTACACCTGGGTCACAAGTCCCAGTCACTGTTGAAGCTCCTCTCACTACAACGATGGACCCGACACACGCACCGTGAATACATCTAATGTTAAGAAGTTTTATATCTATATGTCGAAGTTCCTTTAATTAAGATTGTCCATAAAAATATCGGCTCTCAATGATAGGGGGAAGTCACGTAATTGTCCGTTAACACTACCAGATTTACTAAGTCTTATTAATTTCCATTGCGAATATAGCATAACGAAATACTTATTAAGTTAATAAGTGCTACTATAAAGAGACTTCATAAGGACCTAACATAAATAAAATTATTTTAAACCCTGTCACATATAAATATAAACTTATAATACATTTTGAATATAGTACAGAAATATTCAAAACAAATAATAAAAATACCATTTTATTACGATGGTACAAAATGTTAAATTATACACAAGTTTCTGAGCGAGTGGAGATCAAATGTCAAGTATACGTCTTCTGTAAATACAAAAATGGTTTTATATTGTAACAGAGCCGGGAAAACATTTGTTACAAAAGATATTTTATTTAAAACGAATTTGAAAATATTTTGACTACTAACAATTTGAAAGAATATTTCGGGACTTAAATCGAAATTATGTCTTTGTTTTAATGATAAGAAATTAAAAAGAAATTTGTATTGTATCTTTATATATAAAAGAAAGTCGTATTAGTTACACTATTTAAACCTCAAGAACGTCTACGGGTTTAGCTGAAAATTAGTGGAGAAATAGCTTAGAATCAGGAAAAGAGCATTAAGCATACTTTTCATCCGATTGAAAAGTTAGAAATACTAAGTTGATAAAGTCCAAAATCTTCTTATTTACTGCTTTTAAGGTAAAATAAGGTTCGCGCGGTCAACTAAATATATCTAAATTAAAGTCGCAGACGAAGTTGCGGGCAAAAACTAGTTTATATATATATTCAATAACCATGAATGTACTCGGTCTAACAAATATTTGATTTAGAAATGCTTTTTATAAGGATATATACATTATAGAATCGGAAAATCACATCTATGAGCATGTCTTATTCAATTTGTAGACGTCCAACGTATTAAGGCTGTTATATAGAAAAGGATTGCAAGGAAAATAATGGTCATACTACAAGATCAAGTTTGGTCCTACAGCCACCCTTTGTACAGGTTTTCAATTTATTTCCTTGAAAAAAAAACATCAAAGACATTCGATTAAGGTTTTTATTGTGAGTATTTTTATAGCGATTGTTGAGAGATAGAAAAATGTTTGATTAAATTAGAACTCTTTGGAAGAGATTTTAAGACTGAGATTTGAAAAACATTTTGAGCTAGTGTTATAAATCAATATTGTGTACTAAGATGTTGCTCATTTAGAAAAAATATCCAGAAATAAATTACAATTTTAAAGAGCATGAAATAAGCAAAACCGTTTAACTTTTGAAGTTATTCTCAAAAATTATACGACCATATTTTTAAGAGTAGCCTAAAATCTGTAGCGCTGCCAAAAAAAATATGGCAATGATTCTAAAAGCCATAACTAACACTTGGCTCTTCTTGTTATTTTACGCCTCTAAATAACCGAAATCCAGACTAACAAGGAGATTAAAGCGGAAATCGCTTTAAAACTCCGCTTTAAAATAGAGACTATTGACCTCTCAAAAGCGCATAAGCGCTGCTTGACTCTGCTTTAAGTGCTAACGAATGTGACAAACGTGTGTAATTCGCCGGGTGTTTGAGGAGTACTCATTTTCAGATTGATTTAAAATATGTTTGAGAGTGAATAAAAACAGTTATAGAAGTGTTATATTATTATGTATGAATGTGTGCGTGTGTATCGTAATGAATAATTGAAATCGTGTGTGTGTGTTAATCAATTTCTTTACGACTTAGTTTTTCGTTATAAACCAATTCGTATGAAACAGTTTATATATACATTATTAATAAAGAATTAGTATATCTAAAAAAACTACAATTTTGGATGTTATATGTAAATAGGTAACTACTTCTTAATATTAAATTTAAGTCATTTTCGAATATTTTCTTATACTATTAGATCGGAAAAATATAATTATACTATTAGAGAAAAAACGTATTAAATCTTAAATTATAATCTATTAACGATAATCATAATGAAAATTGCTGTTGAAATTTAATTGGGTCACACATATCAATGAATTATTAATTTCATAGAATATGTTATGATTATTTCCCGGGCCATAGAAGGTCTAGAAACATTTTGATTTTGGGATACTTATAATAATTATAATTAGTCGACAATCTGGTCTAAAAGTATCTATTTAAAATACTCGATACATTTAATTTCAAACAAATTATCTTTTATTTATATTTATTTTATATTTCGACTTTAAGTTTTTTCAAATCTTTTTATTTGTTTCGATAAAAAGATTTCTAGCGTTGTTTCTATTCCTAAATTTTAAAAAAGAATGTTGTATAAAGTATCTTAAATGTTTTTTTTTAAATTTAAACTGGACAACGGTTGACTTCTATTCAACCTTGTTGTAGATAGAAATGAAGTGTGTAGTAGTTGGTTATTCACTATTCTACTGTACTTACTATCTCAAGAGCCTACCACTCTTGCCGTAAAGACTTGAGCATTAAGTTGAATTGAACACAAAGGCAGGCAAAATTATTCATAACTCTTGTTATTCGCATGTAGAAGAAAGACGGGTATTAATAAATACTAGCTTTCCGCCCGCAGCTTCGCCCGCGTAGAGTTCGTTTCCAAAAGAACCATTCAAAAGTCTGGAATAAAAACTATCCTATGTTCTTTCTCAAGGTCAATTTTATCTCTGTACCAAATTTCATTAAAATCAGTTCTGTGGTTTAGGCGTGAAAGCGTAACAGACAGACAGACAGACAGAGTTACTTTCGCATTTATAATACATATTAGTATGGATAGTTATTAATATTTTTCGTTTTTCATCTCAAGTTTTGCAAATACCTAACCTAGAATCTAGATGTTTCAAATATAATAAAATGATATTTTTCCCTTATAATCCTTTAAAGCATTTTCCAACAACCTTTATAAATTACGTTTTAAACGCTGTCAAGTTTTAAAATATGCAAAGTCTAGGAAATGTATTACGTGCTAGAAAACACTCAGAAGTGGCTCCCGGATTAAAATGGAGTCTCCTCATACAGATTTACATACATTATGTAGTGATAAATTATTAATATGTCTAAGTAGTTTGACGGTGTTTAGAATATTCTGGAACAACGAATTATGGCGTCTACTTATAATAGGTTGGGGAAAAAAAAAAAACAATATTTTTACGTGAACTTCAAGACTTTATTTAACATGTTTTGCATTGTCCGATTTAGGTCAAATATGCACCATTTTGTTCTATAATTTGTTGCGATTTTAATGGTAGCTTCATTATGCCTCTCTCATAAAAGTCTTGGTCCTTATTAGCGAAAAACTCCAGCAATTGATTTTCAAACTCTTCCCTTGATGCCAATTTCTTATCACTAAAAAAGTTTTGCAATGCAAGAAAAAGATGGTAATCGCTTGGTGCGAGGTCCGGACTGTATGGTGGATGCATCAAAACTTCCCAACCAAGCTCCTGGAGTTTCTGACGAGTCACTATAGAAGTGTGTGGCCTGGCCAACTCTAGGAGATTAAGATTATTATTATATAAGGAGATGATGGAATTATTTGTATAGCTTTTATATCTTCGTGGAAAATTTCATTTAAATCAAACTAATATTTTTCGGATTACTACGCGTTTTTTAATATTTTAACTACATACTCGCAACGTTTCGGTTACTTTTCAGCAACTGTGATAACGTACAGACGAGATTCGAAGGCTTTCTACAATAATAGAATACGCGTAGTATAATCCGAAAAATATTAGTTTCATTTAAATGAATACTCGCGAAAGAAATAATATGTTTCTGTTATATGTAATTCAATTTTTTAAATATATTCACTGATATTTTTTTATAAAACAAGATGCAGTCAATTCCGTATATTATATCCATCTATTAAACTTACGGACTTATAATAATTTTAATTTTTAAAACAGCGCCATCTACCTGTACCCAGCGGAAACATAATGACATGCATTATTTTTACAACTATACAATAAAATTATTCTTTTCTAGAACTGAATTCAACGAAGGCAACTGAGAGCTCGTCCGATAAACAAGAAGATGTACTATACCAGAAAGACGTCTCATTCTCAGCTGAACTAGAAATAGCCCCGTCCAATAATAATAGATTTAATAAGAATAATGTAAGCGAAACACATATCGACCAAAGACTACCCACAGTCCCTACTAGCGTTCAGACTAAACGGAATTACACTTACACCGGAGAGATCTACAAAGAAGTTGACGGTTTGAATAGTCTGATTGAGGACGGAGTTAGCGAAATAGATTTAAACATCATATCTGATAAAGATAATGTGTTTTCTGATAGAAGAGATAAGGTTACTACGTTGGGACCCAGCTTGGAACAAAAGGTAAGCTAAGTTTTATATTATACAGCAAATTTGGTATAAATACACAAACTAAATAATATTTTGTCTATGTATGTATAAATAATATTAAATATATATTTTTTTGATCGGAGTTTCGTAAATTTGCAAAAATATATAAAATTATATACACGTCTAGCTTATGTCAGAATGACATAACATTTGAAATGTAAGCCGCAGATAAAAAATTACAAAAAAATAAAAAAAGGTTTATATACGTATATAAATGTATATAAAAAAGGCTTATCTTCTATATATATAAAAATGGATTGCTGTTCCTTAGTCTCGCTAAAACTCGAGAACAGCTGAACGGATTTATCTTATCTTAGTCTTAAAATGTTCGTGGATGTTCAGGGAAGGTATAAAAGGTGAAAAAAATTGATTCATTACTGGGAAAACCATAAAAACAGCCCTTTTCTATTTCCCATACAAACGGTTTTTTTGACATTAGATTTGACAACTAACTAATATGTCAATCATTCTGTTCGATTGAAACAGGAAAAACCTAACTATTTGTGGCCTCTAAGACGGTATAGAGTTCGCCTGGTCAGCTATACACATATTACTATATATGACGAAACTAACGCGGACGAAGTCGCGGGCAAAAACTAGTTAATAATAAAAATAGTATCACAAAAGTAATACTTAAAGTAAATATTCTATTATATTGTGATTTTAACCCGACATTTTCATGTCTTCGCTGATAGTGTTCAAAGGAGACTTGTGGAAAGTATCTGTCACTAAGATTAACGTCATGACACTGTCTATCTGTCAAGATGACACGACATACAGAATAAAATACGAATAATATTAAATTAATAAAATTAAAGTATTTAAGAATTATTATAAAGGGTGGCAACCGAGGGTTCCAGGAAAACTATTAAACATACTTATATGTATATTAACATACGAATTAGATGTTAAAACTTATAACCTATACCTAAGACTACATGATTGACCCGATGTTAAGATAACAAATGACAATGATATTCTATTGCTTGTATGGTGTAAGGAATCTTCTGGTTCACACGGCTTGGTGTTCGTTCCGCGTTCGTTATATGATATTTTACCGATACAAAGATGTTGCCCCGGCGATGTTAATTTTTTTCTTCATATGTAGCGGATACATAACTGAATTATCAATAATAATATTAACCAAATTTAAAACGTAATATTGTGGGTGACTTAAATGTTCTTGATTCCATAATACATACACAATATATAGGATAATATGATTTTTGTTTAAATTATTCTATTTTCAATAATAGTTTAAAAGAAAACACGTACTATATAAATATGCTAGAAGACCCGGCGAACTTCGTATCGCCCTATAATCAAGAAATATCTGTTACGTTTTTTTATTTATATTTTTGGAGTTTACCTATTAAAGCCATAAATCTCCGTGTTTTGAAGTGCGACAGAATGATTGACATATTAGTTAGTTGTCAAATCTAATGTCAAAAAATAACGTTTGTATCAACAACTACTAATAAATTAAAAATTAATCAAAAAGACATTGTCCAGCAGACAAAATTCTGAATCTAAACCATTCCCAGATACTCTTGAACAGACACAATAAATTTCATCAAAATCGGTCCAGTCGTTTGAGAGAAGTTCAGTGACATACACACTCACAGAAGAATTATAGATTGCCTAATGCCTAAGTTTTTTTCAAACACTGAAAGGTCAGTCAAATCCGCGTGTATAATACTAGTGTTGTATCTAATCCTCCAGGTGCCAGGTGGTACATCATCTCCTTCCAGAACAACAGCTGTTGAGAGCTGCAGCTGTGACTGTACCCAGATCAAATGCGTCTGCCCCGGGAAATGTAAGACGGGTAAGTTATATTAATGGAAACCAAATATATATTATCTGGGATCGTCTTCGTAATTAGCGTTTAATTTATTACTTACTAGCTTTCCGCCCGCAGCTTCGCCGCGTGGAGTTCGGTTATATCGCGTTTCCAAGAGAACCTTTCAAAAGTCTGGGATAAAAACTATCCTATGTTCTTTCTCAAGGTCAACTCTATCTCTGTACCGAATTTCATTAAAATCAGTTCAGTGGTTTAGGCGTGAAAGCGTAGCAGACAGACAGACAGACAGACAGACAGAGTTACTTTCGCATTTATAATATTATAGTAGGGATTGAGAAAAAAATACCTTAAAAGTCTTTAATATAGAAAATATTTCAGCTTAAACATTCTTCTGATAATCTGCTTCCAATGTAGATATGAGGAATTATCCAATGGTAGTTACGCGGATTTGCACTATCCCGACGATATATATGTTTGAAACATTAATTATATTGAATAGTCATAAAATTTAAAGGGTTTACCAAATCTTTTTTTATAGAAATTATATTTTAATTATGACGTCACTTCTCGACCATACATTATATATATTTCTTTATTTGAGAGGTTATGTTTGTGTGAGTTAGCCGTAATTACACACACACACACACACACAAGTCACGCGTATCAAAAATACTTCATAATACTATGTGTAGTGTAATATTTTATTTTAGTGTTTCAAAATCATTTCGATTCAGATGTAAAAATCTGTTTTTATTTTTCATTCTTTTACGTTAATACCATATTCTAACTTAGCGAATATAATTTTTACCATTATGTATCTGTTCTTAAAAATTTTCACCTACCTACCCTCCAAACATTTCACGATGTATAACTTTTCAAACATGTAAAATATTAACCTACATTTTATAAGCGAACTTTTATGTTTTATAACTCAATTATAAATATATATTAATATGTCAAATAAGTTTGTAGTGTCAGTTCGTCCGTTATAGTCGTGTACTCGTGGAGTTTGTACGTGATCAATTCGTTTTATCATGTATCTACAACGTCACAACTTTGCCAGGCAATTAAAACTTTTCAATCAGTTCACTAAGTAGAAAGTAGGTTTTAGTATACAAACTTCTTATTACATCCAATACTATTGCACAATAATCTATATCAAACGTTAATCTTTATAAAAGAAAGTCGTATTAGTTAAACTATTTATAACTCAAGAACTGCTGTAGCTATATAGTTGAAAATTGGTGGAGAGATAGATTAGAACTAGGAGACGGACATAGGATATTTAATTCTGTTCGATCAAAAAAAAATATTAAAATAAATTCTAATTTATGATTATGATCTTTAGAACGGAATAGTTAGTCCGGTCAGGTAAACTTATAATAATGCCGACGAAGTCGCGGGCAAAAACTAGTAATGAATGATTTATCTATTTCTTACGAAAGTAAGAATTTTCGCTTGGTATTAATAATAATTATTAAGGCACAATTTCACTGAACTAAACGGTAATTTAATTTCTCCTTTCCGTTATTATACAAAGTACCGCAGTAAAATGTTATTGCTATTTTAAATGAGCAGGAGAAATTCTTAAACATTATCGTTTGAAATCTATACTTAAATGTCTCAAAATTCATGTAAATTTTTGCTTTATACATGAAATAATTAGTAAAAATGCATTTTATTTCATAATTTTTACTTGAAATACTAGCTTTTTGCTTATAAACTGCTGTATATAATGTGAGTTTTATAGCGACTTTTACTTATTTGAAATATGTTTTATGTACACTATGTGTCACGAAATACGAAATGTGTAGGTATTCTGTCAATAAAAAGTATTAGAGACAATTTATTTTTTAATAAAAAACGAGTTATTTTCAGCTCCTTTGTGTTTGAACCTACGCTATTTACTTTTATATTTCAAACGATGAAAGAGAAATAAAGCTGTTTCATTGTTGGCAAACGTATATATATATGTATATATACATATATAAACTCAGTGGTGGTCTAGTGGTTAAATAGCCCACCTCTCATGGTTGAGGGCGCGGGTTCGATCCTGGCAAGTACCAATGCGATTTTTCCGTATCATATGTACTTTCTAAGAGTATTTAGACTGATTAATGCATTCCCAAAGAGGGTTGACATCAGGCAGGCGGCCGGTCGTAAAAACAATTAGCCAAAACTATTCACAACATGTAATGTAGGCAGACTAATGACGAAATTAACGCGGACGAAGTCGCGGGCAAAAACTAGTATATATAATATTTGATATATAACTGTTAATAGTGTATATAAGTAGTATAGATTTAAAACATTTAGTTTTGTCTCTTAATATAACAGTTGCGTTATATAACAAAAAAGAAAACTTTTAATGAGTTTCGGACGTAGCTGTGCAAGGAGAAACGAAACTTGTCTCAATTATCGTATAAAATATCGGAAAAATATATTAAATAATATTATGAATATTTAAAGTATGAAAACTATATTCAATAAGCTTTATGTTTTTGTGATATAAATATAATTGAGCTTCGAAATTAAGAGTTATAAGAAAGATGAAATGAAGAACAATTATTATTAAAACTCATTAGTATTCATGATTATTGTTAAAAGTAAAACGAAATCAAAGGAGAATAGAACCATGTTTAAATCTTAGTATAAATATGATGTCTGGACGCACGACGGCAGAGTTCAGAGTTCAGTGAGTGCGTATCATTGAAGTATGTGATTATGAAGAACCTTCTAGAAATACAAGAAAATTTAGAACAATTGAAGTTTCATTTTAAAATATCATGGATCGTACTGAAAGAAGTGATATTAGTGACGTCGGCGAGGCTGGCATTACTCTCTTTAAAAATTAATAAGGTATAATAATCTTAATAATCTTTGACTATAGATCTGTTTCTAAAAGACAATGTTTTGTGGCTTATTCTTTGCAACTATATAATGTAAAGTTTTGTAAGACTCTTGCGAGTATTCATTTAAATGAAACTAATATATTCGGATGCAACCTTTTTTTCATTATTAAAGTTACTCCTCACGTTTCGGTTACTTTTGCAGCAACCACTATTTATAGTTTTCGAATATAGGTTGATACTTAAATGTTTCTATTACCAAATTACAATGGTTCAGTATTATAATTAATTATAATCAGTCATAAAAATAATTCTAAGGATTATAATATTTTATAATCAGTACACACACAGGAGATAAAAATATAAGTAGTACATCCGAAAATATTAGTTTTATTTACAGTAAAGTTATTGTCATTTTTCATTTTGTCTTTTTTTTATCAAAACAGTCTTATTAACAATTAATATTTTTTCAAAGAGTCTCCTGAATAAATAAAATATCTGAAACTTCAGTAATTTTCATAATGTTTAATATATTTTCATGTATATTCATATCTACACATAAATGAATTTTGGGTTCTCTAGTTAATGGAATCAGAAAATATAATTTTGTTTGAATTCCTTTTAAAGTAACTCAATATGTGTACAAAAATATGAAAAATAATTTCACGTATTATAAATTTAAAGTTATAAATGAGATACATAAAAATAATAATAATAATTTGCTTTCAAAAGAATTGAAAATACACATACATATATTTTGCTTAATATAATTTTAATATAAATTTTAATCTACCAAGCTGAGTTATAAGACACATTTTATACAAGACACTCCCAACACCTATAGCCGCTTAATTTGAAATTATAATGAAAATACATCACACTGAGAAGTTAATCTTTGGGAGAAATAAATCTTTAGATAATGTGAAATAAAAATATAATAGATTAACATTATTATTATTCTTCTTCTTCTTCCTGGTAATTTCCCAGCTTTAGCCAGGGTCTGCCTTACATGTTGTGAATAGTTTTGGCTAATTGTTTTTAAGACCGGCCGATTGACATCAACCCTCTTTGGGAATGCATTAATCATTGATGTCTAAATACTTAGAAAGTACATATGATTCGGAAAAATTACATTGGTACTTGCCAGGATCAAACCCGCGCCCTCATGCATGAGAGGCGGGCATTTAACCACTAGGCCACCACTGACTTGAATAACATTATTATTACTAAATTTTGCATTAATTAATAAAGGAAACTTCATTAACATGTGTTTGTGTTAAATATTATTTTCATTATATAAAAAAATTGTCTTTTTACCATTTTTATGATACTAATTTTTGTATGGAATAATTATTTTTTTATAAAGTCGGGGTAGCCAAGACGTTAAAGGCCCGCCTCTCGTGTATGAGAGCGCGGGTTTGATCTTGGCAAGTACCAATTTGATTTTTCCAAGTCATATGTACTTTCTAATGGTATTTAGACATCACTGACGGGTGAAGGAAAACATCGTGAGAAAACCTTGGCCTTATAATTTCACAATAATAAGTTTGAAATTTTAACTGAATTAAAATCCATGTACATTTAAAGCAATTTTCTTAAGGAATACGAATATTTTTCGTAACATATATTATGTGTACATACTATTTTATTAGGAATGAAATAATTTGATATCAAAACATATTTTAGGAAATACTTTTCGCTCATAGAGTATCGTTCATACTAGATTAATGTAGTCTGGTCACGTCAGTCTCGGTCTGAGTCTAGACGCTAGACTCTAGACTCCATTTTATTGAGTTTTTGAGGAGCGAAATAATGTGAAGCGCTCACAATGAGAGATGAGTTGAGTCTAGGAATTTACAAGTGGTAAAGAGTTTTTTATATGTGTTAAATACTTTTAATTTATATTATAGCAGACTTTTCTTACTTTAATTTTTAATGTAAAAAAGCATATAAAATCTAACAAATATTTTTGATAACTAAAGAAAGGAATACAATGTAAAATAACAAATATACAATTTCATATTATAGCTTGTGAATTTCCATTTACATCTCGTTTTCGTGATAATGGTTGCTAAAAAGTAACCGAAACGTCGGTAGTATGTAGTTTTTATAATAATAAAATACGCGTAGTTAATCCGAAAAATATTAGTTTCATTTAAATGAGATTATTTAGACACCACTGACATACGGTGAAGAAAAACATCGTGAGGAAACCTGGACTTATAATTTCACAATTATAAGTTTGAAATCACCAACCCGTCTTGAGCAAGCGTGGTGATTAATGCTCAAACCTTCTCCATGTGAGAAAAGGCCTCTCAGCAGTGGACTCTGATAGGCTGATGACGACGAATTTCCATTCATATTTGTTAAGCTAATTTGCTATAACAAACGATGTTATTACAAATACAAATTATTCCATTGTTTTCTAACATGTATAGTTAAAAGGGTGATATAATACGAGGTCTAATTTAAGCTGCAACATCCCACATGACCCCACGTCGAAAAGTTCGGGAGCTTTTGAAGTTTAAGTGATGATAAATGGAGGTTCTCTGTTCAAATATGTTTTTATCCGATGTTATTTGAAACCTTATGTTATTATAAAATACTTATTCTTTGTAACGTTCTCTGTATTTCTTTAGGCTCTAATTTTAAATATGAATGATATATTATCGTTTACTTTTATGTATACTAGCTTCGCTCGCGTTTTCGGTTATATCGCGTTTCCAAGAGAACCTTTAAAAAGTCTGGGATAAAAACTATCCTAAGTTCTTTCTCAAGGTCAATTCTATCTCTGTACCAAATTTCATTAAAATCACTTCAGTGGTTTAGGCGTGAAAGTATAACAGACAGACAGAGTTACTTTCGCATTTATAATATTAGTAGGGATGTCAGATTTATAAAAAAATCCTTGTTTTTAAAGAGACGCCAGCCTCGCTGACGTCACTAATGTCACTTCTTTCAGTACGCAGGGCCGTTTTATCCATTAGGCATTATAGGCAACTGCCTAGGGGCCCTGCCACGTTCAGGGGCCCCTGTGCTACAGGGAAAAGAATGGGCAATGTTTCTTAAACAGTAAAAAATTAATTTGAAAATTTGCTCTGTACATTACATCGACGCTATTTTAGTACATTTCGGAACGCATTCCTTATTAGATATTATTATTATGATTATTATTATAGTTTAAAAGTTTATAACTGCAAGCAGTAATATAATTGCAAGCAATTTTAATTTAAAAAATTAATTAAAAACTGTCTTCGTTCAACGACGTCTCAAAACCGTTTAAATTCATTGGCTATAATGGCAATTGAAAATGACGTGTTGGAGAAGATTACCTTTCAGGATATCTTGAACGATTTTGGATCAAAAAGTTAGAAGAGTTAATATTTAAGCTATGTATGTTTTTTTTTTAATGCATAAATAAACATTCTGTTCATTTGATTCAACATTTTTATTGAATAATATAATGATATACCCAGGTTAGTAAAAAACGGTGTAATTTTGAAGGGTAGGGGGCCCTGGATGAGCATTGCCTAGGGGCCCCGACAGGCATAACCCGGCCCTGTCAGTACGTTCCATGATTTTTAAAATGAAACTTCAATTTTTCTTAATGTTTCTGTATTTCTCGAAGGTTCTTCATAATCACATACTTCAATGATACGCACTCACTGAACTCTCAATTCTGCCGTCGTGCGTCCAGACGTCATATTTATACCAAGATTTAAACATAGTTCTATTCTCCTTTTAAACAATCTTTGATTTCGTTTTTTTTTTTAACAATAATCATAAATACTAATGAGTTTTAATAATAATTGATGACAGCCTCAAATTATTTTCATGTCGCATCCGTTATTAAAGCTGATAGCGCCGATATATAGATTTATATTTGTATACTCAGTTTTGTTCTGTTGTTAAAAGTAAGGGATTAATTTTGAATAGAATTTTTATATAATAGAATTTATAACATAAATAATGGCTATGTGATATAAAATTTAGAGATTAATATAACACGGTGGTAAGGTATAATGAAATTCCTTTATGACTTTGTACGTGTTAATATACAAGCAATTTAATATTATCCATTGGTTTAAACATTTCCTTCTATACTTTTAATAAAATGGATTTTATATAAACTAGTTTTTGCCCGCGACTTCGTCTGTGTTAATTTCGGTATTAGTAATATATGTATTGAAATTTATTAAGTTTTTTCTTTTTCGATCAAACAGTATTGAATATCCTTTGTATGATTACTGGTTCTAATCTATCTCACCACCAATTTCCAACCATATCCCTACAGTCGTTCTTGAGTTATAAATAGTGTGACTAACACGACTTTCTTTTATACATATATAAAGATATTGATTTTGCTAATTTTTTTTACATTAAAATGAAATTATTTAAAATATTTATGGAAATTAAATTGTGATCGTGTTTTAAGTAAATATTTTATTGCATTTGGAATAACTTGTAAAGGAAGATATATCATAATTAGTAATTACATATTTTATATAATTTTAAAGATTCATACATTTAAATTCATTTCAGTGGACTGAATTACGTATTTCTTTCCAGCAACACAAATAGCTACGCCACGTTTTTCGGGTTCGTCATGGCTGGCGCTGCGTGCATTGAGGGGTGCTTACAAGAGGGTGCGATTAAGAATGAGGGTGCGGCCTGAACGCACCCGTGGGGTGTTATTACTGACGGGTGAACATGACGATTTATCGGGGGATTACCTGGCGTTGATATTGAGGAATGGACATGTTGAGTTAAGGTGAGTTTAGATTGTGGGAAAACGTCATATATATAGGGTATTTTTCCCAAAGGGGGTTGACGCCAGGCAGGCGGCTTGTCGTACAAAGAATTAGCCAAAACTATTCACAACATGTAAGGCAGACCCTGGCTAAAGCTGGGAAATTTACAGGTAGAAGAAGATATACAGGGTGACTGGTGAATTACTATCGATACTTGAGGACGTGATATTTGACGATGATATATGACAAAATAAAAATTAATATAACATAAATATTAATAAACTTCTAAGTAAAGTTAATCAAAAGTTGTGTAATTAATTACGCATCGTGTGAACACCCTACAGATTCATTAGACACCCACACTCACACATACGAGTGCGGCGGCGTTGTGTTGTATCAGCACGCCGCCGCACGCGTCCACACATGGAACACTTGGAACGTGTCAACACTTTATTTATTTATACGGAAATTTTGTCAAAAATTAAGTACCTATTTTTTTTACATAATTCGAATGAGAATCATGTACCGAGTATCCTCCTTAAATATTGATAGTAATTCACCAGTCACCCTGTATATATATATACATATATGTGGTACATAAATAATGGATAATTTGTTATATTGGATAAATTTCTTTTATTATTTTTATTTATTATATATTTGTTATATTGGATAAATTGGATAAATAGAGGTATTTTTTGTATGTTAATATTTATGTAATTTTGTTTAATAATGGTGAAAATTTCTATCATATCTACCAAAATTATATATTTTTATGATGTTTAAGAAAACTATTATACTTTTAATTGCTCGCTCAATATACCTCTGAATTATGTAATTATTATACAAAATTAATATATATTTTTTTACTTTTATGTGAGAAAATATTAAGAATATATACAATAAACTACACTATAACATAAAATTATTCCTCATATTAATATAAGTGAACCATTCCGTTATATCTTCCTCTCATAACGATAACGCATAATGAAAAGCCATAACGATAACGCTATAAAAACCTGTATAGACCTGTTTAGAGATATTAAACATAATAAACTGTAATGAGAATATATACTTGGGAATAAACATTATACTGCTTTATATATAAGCCGGTTAATATAACGCATTTTAGAATACAAATTTCAGTATCAAAAAGTCTTATAAAAACGAAGTAAAACTGTATAACATTTTGTCTATATAGTTGAATGATATAACAAGTAAATATATTAGTATAAAATCTGGTCCTGATTTCGTAAAATCTTAATAATTGGTAGAAAAATTTCAAGAGTTAAATCTTAAGTTAGGATGCCAGTTAAAATAACTTTAGTGTTAACTGAAATAGTAATGTTTTATTTCATGTTTTGTATATTATTTTTAAGTCTGAATGTCTAAGATATTTTCATCTCGTCTTCGTGTTCACGGTTGCTGAAAAGTAACCGAAACGTAGGGAGTATGTAGTTTATTTATAAAAATAGGCCGCGTAGTATATTCGAAAAACTAATACTTGAATTCAAATTCATTTATGTTTACTTATATATATATATATATAAAAGTCAGTGGTAAAGGGTCCGCCTCTCGTCGCCGAGAGCGCGGGTTCGATCCTGGCCCAGGCAAGTACCAATGTGATTTTTCCGAGTCATATGTACTTTCTAAGAATATTTAGACACCACTGATTAATGTTGATTCCCAAAAGAGGGTTGATGTCAGGCAGGCGGCAGGTCGTAAAAACTAAAAGCCAAAAACTATTATTCACGACATGTAAGGTAGACCCTGGCTGTAGCTGGGAAATTGCCAGGTAGAAGAAGATATATATATAAGTTTAAAATTAAGCTTAAAATCATTAGCTAGCCTAAAGCCTTTTCATTGTAAGCCTTCACTATACAATAAAGGTGATTTCGGTTCCGACAAACTAATTAACTCCAACTCCATGTTCGTGTGATGTATCCCGCTGTTGTTTATATAAATGTTTGTCTATCGGTCATTTTGGGAAATTGAATTTGATAATTTTACGTTCATTTCGGAAATAATAGTACATTTTAGGTAATATAAACAGTTTTGTGTAGCGAATATATATGTATATAATATATAATACATGTTCTAGTTGACTTCAAAATAATGAGGTGAATAAAACAAGTTAGGAATAATATTTTTATTAAATAGCACTAACTATCGCACACAATGTTGATTAATTTTTAAAATTAGATTTAAATTAAATTTTAAATTGGAAAACACGTAAAAACATTTCCATCATCGAATTTAAAATTATCAGTACATATATTTAAAATGTCATATATTTTATATTCAATAGAACTTTTAGCATTTTTATCATCTCGCATACGATGGATGAATCGCCAAATCAGATGTTCCATACATTTAAGTTTAACTGGTTTTCGTTGTTGAAGTTCTTAAAGTTTACCGAGTTTAAGGAAACTTGCGAGTTTACGGACATCTCCTAGATTAAATCACGTATTTGAAGCAGTTAAATTTATTAAGGACGACTGCTTATATAGAAGTAGGAACATCGGATTTTGATGGAATTTTATCATTAGATAGTTGGATTCTGGAACTCAAAAGCAATATTCTAAAAGTCAAGTTTAGCCAAACATTTCTTTCATTATAAATGCAATTATTGCAATATGAATTCAAACAAAATTAATTTTTTAATCCATACCAAGAATCCAAAGTCGACGAATCATTAATAAAAATACGTTAAAATCCTTTATTGATCACGTCAATCTATATAACGTAATATCTGTCGTAATACATCACTCAAACTGAATATTGTTACGAAATTTAAAATATATTTTATGAATATTCGATTTTTGAAATACTAAGAATTTATACCATGGAGGTTTTAATCAAGCAAAATAAAATAAAAAAAAAATAAAATGACATCTTATTTTAAAAGAGGTTATATATGTATCATATATTTTCGTCTGTAATCTATACATCATTATGTAAAGAATTATTGATACCATCTCAGAGTTGTTATTGTTTGTTCAACCTGAGTATATTCAGAGGGGATGAAGATATTTGATATTCTAATATAAGATATACATATATGAAACAACAAAAAGGTATTGCATCGTAAACATTTACATTTATAACCAAAACTTGAATAATAACCACAATAGTTTTGACTAAATGTATTTTATAGTGTGGAATTTTTGAAAATCCATAGTATTAGTCCGGACTGGTTCACATAATAATACTTTCGAGTATTCATTTAAATGAAACTATTATTTTAGAATTACTTCGCGTTTATAATTATTTTTAATTACATACTGCCGTTATTTCGGTTACTTTGCAGCAACCGTGATCACGGACAGACGAGATGAAAACGTCTTAGACATTCAGACTTAAAAAAAGTACGCGTATAATAGTTTCATTACTAAAAAAAACACTTATAAATCCGATATAAACAATTTAAGGTTTTCTTTAAGATTATAATAATAATAATGTATATTTATCCCAAACACATTATAATTGTATAATCTGATCACAATGCATAAAGGTAAAAGGTATTATATGTAATTAAAATCTACTGTCCCTGAGCTAGGTATAAACCTGTATTTCAGGCGACAGTACTCAGTAGCAAAGGATTCATTTTACCAAGTTTACTAAAGTGGAATAGCGAAAAAAGTCAACACAATATAGTGTATGGTAAATTGAACGTATGAATGAATGAATGAATGAATTGTCAACAGATTCGATTGCGGCAGTGGCGCGGGTGTACTTCGGTCTCCTGAACCAGTACATCTCGGCAGATGGAACACCATATCTGTTTATAGACACAGATGGGACGCCTGGCTCAAGCTGAATAATGGGAAACGAGTTCGAGGGAGATCGAAAGTAGGTTTTATTGATTATTAGAATAATATTTATTATTAATACTGGCCAGTGATAAAATTTAATAACAGGTTTATTTTGTTTTTTTTTTTTTATTTAAGACAGTTCTCTACTGTCACTGTCAATTTAAATTTATGTCACTTCAGACAAATGTTTGACGAAGTGTTTGCAAAAATAGTACTAATATAGAATTTGTTTTATTTTGGCAAGAAAAAACACAATATGCAAAGGCTATTTAAAATTTAAGTAACATTTAAAAAGAGTCATCACTATTTCATCATAATATTAAAATCGAAATAATCTATCACTATTTGAATCCATCGTGTAAGATTTAAAAAAAAGAAACATAGGTACTACATATTATTTGTGATACTATTATTAATATTATCTGAGACGAAAATTTATATATTGAAAATGACATAATATTGTGTTCAATATTAATTTCCAATTATATTAAAGATACAATGAACACTCTTTGTGTAAGCAATACTTTGTAACGAACCTTTTTGCTTTATATTTTTTTAAACCTTCACATCGCAAAGGAAACTCGGGAGTGTCATAAACAAAAATATACTTTTTAACAAAGTGTCGCCGCTCATTAAAAATATTTGTGTCTATGAAGTTGGAACAGACTTAAAAATGGGTTTTAAATAAGAGGCGGAAGCGATATTAGTTTCATTAAAATAATATTTATTTATAAAATTTCTCATGAATTCACAATTTAATGGAACATTTCATTCTTATTTTTAACATGAAGTATACACAAAGTATCCCAAAAATATCACATGCAATCTTATGTAAGAATTTTAATTAATAATAATCTACATATACAGTGGCGGCTGTACCTTAAGTGCGCCGGTGCGCTGAACCACCAATTCAAAATATTTAAAAATTACAAAATATTATGTCATCTTAATTTTTAAATTACCATTTTAATATTTATTTTTTAAACATACAAAAAGGTATAAAAAATTTAATTTCCAATTATGGTCAAAAAGTTTGAGCGCTTTACTAAACTCATATCGTGCGCTCCGGCGAGTGCACGAGGACTGCTAATGCACCCGATGTATGACGTATTGAGCCGGCCGGCAAGGGGCCGCACTGTGTGGTATTTAGCCTCAAAAGTTGGCCAAAAATATTTTTTGTTACAGGAAGTTAGATATACACTTATTATTTGATTTTACATAAAAATAAAATAAAAACAATCGTTTTTTTAGGTAAATAATTGTTTATTCATCATCACTGCTATCATCTATATATATAAAATGAATTGGTGTTCTTTAGTCTCACTAAAACTCGAGAACGGCTGAACGGATTTATCTTAACTTAGTCTTGAAATGTTCGTGGTGGTTCAAGGAAGGTGTAAAAGCTAAAAAAAACTATTCATTTCCGGGAAAACCCTAAAAACAGCCCTTTTCTATTTCTCATACAAACGTGTTTTTTTTAATATAAGATTTGACAACTACAACAACTGTCGCACTTCAAAACACGGAAATTTATGGCTTAAAGGTAAACTCCAAAAATATAAATAAAAAAACGTATCAGATATTTTTTGATTATAGAGCGATACGAAGTTCGCCGGGTCTTCTAGTCTAAAATATTAATATTTGTAATATCAGTTTCACATAATAAATTAATAACATCTGACGATATTTTCTTCTTTTTTCTACTTGAGCTACCCCTCATACCAGTTACCAAAGGATCAGAGGTCAACAAAAGTCGGTTTAGGACGTCCATGTTGCACTCTACTCGCGAGAACTTTCTTGTGAAGTTCAGCCTGAATGACCTAATGTTTTTGTTACGAGCTTCAGCAGCTTCTTCGGATAGCTGGTCAATTGGGAGTATTGCTTCCTTGATGACAGCTGCTTCATGTCGAAGAATTTTGTGTAATGTCGGGGTCATGGGGTAAAATGTATAAATTGAGACATATACATAGTTCAGCAGTTTTTTGGCAATATTTTCCAAATTTTTCAACATTTATTTTCATACCAGAACATAATGCATCCAGAATGACCTTTAGCCGATAAATCAAACATTTATCCACCCCTGTTATTTCTGCTGAAATTTCATACTGCTCGAAAAATCTCCTACTTGTATTACCATTTGTATTTCCAAAATTAGTTCTGGGCATGTCAACTAAAAGTCCAAGTTTTTCTTTAAATTTATTTTGAATTTCTTATTTTTTACCCTCCACTATTTGTTTCTCCTCAGCAGAAAGCCGAAAGTGCCATTTTTTTATAGGCAACCTATATGCCACATGTAGCATCGTCTCAAAAAAACGTATTCTAGCATGTAATAAAGATAGCCAGAGATAGGTGGTATTTTTTTCTTCGAATCTCTTTCTCAGTTTGCGAGATGTCAACCATTTTTGTTTGAATTGGTGTTTTATAATTGATAGTTTGTGCTTTATATCAGTTATTTTTAGATCGTCTTGCGAGTAGCCTTTAAACAATTCAATCTCCATAAATTTAAGTTTTTCATTAAATGTTGACCCCATTGATTTTTGGGCAATGTCATACAACTCATTCCGAGTCGTAGTCTTCATACCAGAATGTCCTATAACAATTAAAACGAACAATATTAAATATTTTTTTTTATCAAATATTGTACTTCACTACAAAAAAATTAACCAAAAAAAGAGGTGCGGTTTCGTGCGGCTACTTTTCTTTTAAGTAGCTAATAGACTAAATTGATCATGTTATGACATAGTTTTCAATGCTTAGAAATGTTCAGAAACATAACAAAACCCTTTTTGAAATAATAAATTATATATTTTTATAACAGTTAGTTACGTCTAGATTGTCGGCTATAAATATCAAAATCTACAATATATTTGACAAAACTATGTTATAAAATAGAAAGTACATACCTGGAATAGTGCAATCCATCACAAAAACCAATACTAAACCACTTCACTTAACAGTAATAAGCGTTTGAAAACAACAAAATGAGAGCGTATCGAAAAATCACACGTCTGGCATAAGCGAGCTGTAACTTCTGAGGGACCGCCCGATGTGCTGAACGACGCTAGCGCTGCACTTTTTTTACCATTGGGTGCAGTGACTAATTAGCTTTTAGGCTAGTAACAACACTAGATAGATAACGGAAAATTTAAAAAACCATTTTTGGCCAGCTTTTGAGGCTAAATACCACACTGTGGGCCGGCCGAAAGGATGGGTGCTATGATTGACATCTCGTTAATCGTTATTGGTATTGTTTCAACTTTCACTGTATGCGTGACGCGTTAATTCGTTATTGTTTATAATTATTTCCGTAATTCGTTTTAGTTTTTATTTCGTTTCTATAATAGAACTTTTATTCTGTACTGTGTTTTTTATTAGTTGAAAATGAGTATAGATATTGATTATATTAAAGAAAATAACAAAATTTTTCAAAGTAAAGTGAACATAAAATTGGCCGGGCCGCCACGGCCCTTTTTAAATTTAAAACAAGAGTGTAAATCGAAAAATAAAGCATTTATACGAAGTTTTAAAAGTGAAATGTATAATAGAAAGAAATGGTTGTGTGGATGTGAGCGTCTTAATGCATTCTTTTGTTTTCCTTGCATTATTTTTGGCGGAGAATCGATTTGGACAGAAACTGGAATCAGATTTTAATAAAAAGGTGATAGAACATTTCGCTACAGAAAAATGTCGTCGCATTGATTTAATGTACAAAAAATAAACATATTTTATGTCAATTGTTGTTTTTGTCAATATTTTAGTAAAGTGAACCACCAGTTCAATAACCCACCAGCCGCCACTGTACATATATATAAAAGAAAGTCGTGTTAGTTACATTATTTATAATTAAAGAACGGCTGTAAGAGATAGGGTTAGAAATTGGCGAGGAGAAAGCTTAGAACCAGGAGACGGACATAGAATATAATTCTGTCCGATCTAAAACAAAAAATACTCAATAAACTCAAATATCTGGTTATTTAAGGCCTCTAGAACGGAACAAACTTCGCTCGGTCAGCTATACATATATCACTAATGCCGAAATTAACACAGACGAAGTCGCGGGCAAAACCTAGTATTATATGAATGCAAATCGCCTGTCTCCTATGCCTCAAAGACAAACCTCCGCCATCGGTAATTGTCGCTACACGGAGTTAATGTTGTATAATAATTGACGAAATTCCCGCCATAAAACGGATAATGGCTGTCAAGTGCCGCGTTCTACGAGTGCAATATTAGGGTGCGATTTAATTTGTGGTTTTACTTTACGGTTATTTGATTTGTGTTTGACGCTCGGTTATTTCCAAATTGAATTCGGATTGACGCGTCGTTTGGATGAAAAATATATGTCGATAAGATCACGAGCATTACGAATTTCACTTTCACTTGTACTATTTAATAGCGTCTTCATTTCGTGTGGGTTAATTTACAAAATGGCTGCTATTGATAGAAAAATGATTCTTATTATTAAATGAGATAAAATTTTGTATTAAAAAAAACTATAATAAAAAATTCTTCTACATTGGTTGGATAGAACCTATAACATCTGGAATATAGTTTTCAGATTCTTTGTCAACTAAACTATCATGCAACTTAAGTCGGTAGTTCAAGCAATCTATATTATTAATTTAAAATACAATCACAAAATCGATTTGAAATTAAGACTAATAAGCCCTATTAGATTCGTTCAAATTTGGTTAGAGAGATGAGCTTGGACGGTGGAGGTAAGCGTATAACGCGTTAGATAGGGTCCCTTAAACCTACACCTGGGTCACAAATCCCAGTCACTGTTGAAGCTCCTCTCACTACAACGATGGACCCAACACACGCATATGAATACATTGAATGATGAGAGGTTTCGTCTGAATATAAATTTATAATGTATCCAAAACTGACTTTTTCATAGCATTTTCCTATCAAACTATTAAAATCTTAAAAGAATCTATAGATTACGTTCTATAGAAAATATTGATCTTGTCTTGGAAAATAATTGCATGAGAATTTGTAAGATAAAACGTATGAGAACTGATGCTTGTATTTCATTTTGCATAACACTACGTACGCTAACAGTTATTAATGAAGATTCGTTTCAGAGATTAATAAAGAATTTTGTTAGTATAATTTTTTCCTCATTCAAGGGCCTCTTCTCACGAATGACCTTCCGAGAGCCAGTATGGGTCGGAGGCGCTGGAAATACAACTGGTTTGCAGAACAAACTCGGACTATCTGAAGGATTACTCGGCTGCGTCGACTTCTTGAGAATTAACGGTGATAGCTACCGTTTAGTTAAAGATGCAGTCTCCACGCTTGATATTGGTGAGTCACTTACATATTATTATCACAATTTTTTTTTGTTTATTGGTAATCCAACAGCGATACGGTAATTTTAGAATAGTAACTATATAGCTATAAACAAGGCCAATTTAGGATTACACAAAACAGTTCTACATTTACACTCGAACGAGCATACAATTAAGGATAAAAAGAAAAAAAGGGAAAAAAAAGGCAAAGTAAATTGTGTTAAATACAAAAGTGTGTGTGTGTGTGTGTGTGTGTGTGTGTGTGTTTTTAACATACAATTTTGTTCCAAAATCTTCGCAAATGATTATATTAATGTAGTTTTATGAATATAAACTCTAGATTCATCGTATTTAGTTTAACGATGCAGTTTTATCATGAAGCTTTCGATTCTATTCTAATAAATATGAAACTATATTTATTTCGTTTTCAAAAAGAATAGCCTTACGTAGTTTAAATCGATTATTATGGATTATAACGTGTTATTTATTATTGTTTTTCCGATAATATAAAATATCTTAATATAAATAAAATATTCGTTATAAAAATATTATAAAGATAAAAAATAAACACATCACATACCACAGATTAAATATTGTATTTCATGTTGTGAAACAAAACGCTCACAGAATGCCCATTCGTACACTTAAAAAAACAAAATGGTCGAACAAAAACCGCATTTAATATTAAAATACAAAAATAATTACATTGAAACGAAATACTTTTTGTGTTTCATTAATTTAATGGCGAATTACGAGTTGTGATATATTAAATATAAAGATTTAATTGTTATAATGATTGTGTTTTAAATCCAGTTGTGTATTTGAGAAGAAATCTCCAATTTTCCTAATAAACCAGATACTTTTGAAGTCAGTGGTGGCCTAGTGGTTAAAAGGCTCGCCTCTCAGCACGAGGGCGCGGATTCGATCCTGGCGAGTACCATTGTGATTTTTCCGAGTCATATGTACTTTCTAAGAGTATTTAGACATCACTGATTAATGCATTCCCAAAAGAGGGTTAATGTCAGGCAGGCGGCCGGTCGTAAAAACAATGAGCCAAAACTATTCACAACATGTAAGGCAGACCCTGGCTAATGCTGGGAAATTGCCAGGTAGAAAAGAAAGAAAGAAAGTAGATACTTTTGAAGGAAATTTACTAACATAAAATTTTATTTCATACGTATCTCTTATATAAATTACTTGAAATATATTAAAATGGGTATAGTTGGTTTATATTTCATAAATATTATCAAAATTATCTTTTCATAAGATAATGTAAAGAATAAGTTAGAAACTAAATATTTTTTAAACAGAAATTAGATTCATTCAGAATACATCTTGAATAGTATATCTTGAATAGTATATGGAGAAACACGATCGAGTTTGTCGAATGGAATAAATCGTTTATTAAATTATTATTACTATTAAAAAAACAAGTTATATTTTTACCAAAACCTAGAACAACAAAAAGTACATTTTAAAAATGTATTCAGTTACTTCTAAAAATATAGACGTTGCTAAAGAAGTAAAGTATTGAACTTCAAAAATGTTAGTTGAAAATAAGGTTGTATACTATCAGAAAACCGCAAGTGAAACTTACTTGCGTTACCTTACGTATTTCTATTATAACACTACGAAAACTGCAAGATAGGTATAATCTATATAATTACCACAAATTTTTGTTACTAATAAAACCTTATGTTAACTGACTCAGTTTTCTTATTATTTAAATATAAAAATGACATAAAACGACGCTTCGGAGATAAAAAATAAAAACCAATGAAAAATTAAAATCAACGGTTTTGAGTACTCTTACTATAAGTTCTCATCGTCACTACACACGTATCGTTAACAGTTTGTCATTCATGAATCATCACATTATAGTATTAACGTGGTATTGAATGAGAAAAGTTAAATGTGTAGAGTCCAATGCAAACTTTGACTAAGTTTATATATTCGTGTTGCTTTTTTGTATTTCCTATTTAAAAATTTAAATATATACTTTATATAAATGGTAATTTATTTATGAAATAACTATTTTAATAATACAAAACCCTAGAAATTACAAGTTGTAAAAAGTTATCGTTTAATATATATCATAAGAATTAAATAGGAATAGTATTAGCTAACTTCCTTAAATTACCTAACTTAAATTCATTAAAAAAATACTTTAAATCTAAGATAATAATGTTAATTACCTATAAATTTTTAGATTTAATTCAAATATTCATTTATTTTTGATAATTATAATGAAAAAAAATACAGATTCATTTATTATGTTCTGTCATACAAAATGACAGTCACATTATCAAAATAAATATAAGGAAACATTTCCAACTGGAAGCCAATAATGAAACACTGATGTATATGTACATACACACACACACACATATACATGCGCGTGTGTGTATATGTATGTATGTGTGTGTTTAAAAAAGTGCATATAGAAATATTTATCAAAAGGTATTCCTAAAATACCCAACAGAATTCTTAGCGTCCTTTCCTTTTGATGACTGACCATTAAACCACGCCAAGCATCTTAAGTATTCATTCCTCTTCTTTCCAACAAAATAATATAATGACCCAAATTACAGCACAATTTGAAATATTCTAGAAGTTATTTATACAATAATATTAATAAATTATGTTTATAATGTAGACACAAAATATGATTACTAGTTTCATGCGAACTGTTAATGCATATACAAATATATCTAATAATAAATTTGTTATATATATTATATAATAATCAGTGGTGGCCTAGTGGTTAAATGTCCGCCTCTCATGCATGAGAGCGCGGATTCGAAACCTGGCAAGTACCAATGTGATTTTTCCTAGTCATATGTACTTTATAAAAGAATTTATACACCACTGACAGACGGTGAGGGAAACCTGGACTTATAATATCAAATTATAAGTTTGAAATCATCAACCCATCTTGAGCAAGCGTGGTGATTAATGCTCAAACCTTCTACATGTCAAAAGAGGCCTTTGCTCAGCAGTGGGCTCTGATAGGCTGATGATATATATGTATATATAATAAAAACAGTCTATATACGTAATACATAAAAGAAAATCATTGTTGCCAACTTCAGAGTATTTTTATATATAGCTCACCAACCTGACATTACTCGTTGTGGATCGATTGCATCTTCTCTACACCCCTCATACGTGACTCGAATTTCTATATTATTATATTCAATCGTAGTTCTTATTGCACACAACATAAAGCATTTTATCGTATAATAATGACGCATAGGTATTTATTCGTGAGGCTCTACGTAAGTTCCTATCCTCGACAGGTTCTATATTATATGTATTAATCTTAGGATTTATCAATTTTTATTTGGTATATAACATACTTATGTTAATTGTACTTACGCTTACATTAAAATACAAATTAAAAAAACGAGCGAGACTTGAACTTTTAACTACTGGAAAATCTAAATCTATACATTTTTCATTCTATACCCATTTTAATCTTGTATTTCGTTTTTAGTATATATGTAGAACTCAAAAATATTTAACTTTTTTTAAAACATATCAGACAATAATTATGATTTCGACGGTCGGTGGATGCAATGAAACCAAAATTATTACTTAAATTTAATTATAAAGTAAGTTACAACTAGGTTTGCGACTATGTTGCACGAAGGTTGAACAAATAGTGACAATAAATCTAATGAAATTCTTACAAGAAATATTATAATCTAAAAACATAAAAGAAATATAAAACCAAAAACTGTCTTCACACGGAACTGCTGAGTCAGACCGGTGTAGAATAGGCGAGTTTACCCAGAACCTAAGGCGTCCTCTGATTACACCGTATAAAGATAATTATATTTTAATTAAACGACCACTTATTACACCGTCACATAACACAATCGTAATTATTTTGACATAAAAGAATTGTTTGGTGTATATTCAGCTTCCAAATATTTCAATTCATACTAATATCGTATTTTCCAACAACCTATTGAAGTAAAAGATTCCATATTTGGATTCCATTATAATTAATTTTAATAACGAAATGGAATCCTATATCCTAGTATATTATGGATTTGAAAGCCTGCTAGGATGAATAAATAAAGTGAAACAGATTATTTATATGGTACTAGCTGTGGTCAAGTTACTACAGCTCGAACATGTGCTGTCTCGACCGTAAGTACCACCCTCTCACAGAAGATCGGCGTGAAGTAGCTTTTAACGGTTGCGTTTCGTCCGATGAGTGAGAGAGACGGTTGCCCTTTCCTTTTTTCTACTTTTCCTGCCTTTTCCCTATTTTCAACCTTTCCTCTCCCTCTTCTCATAATAAGGGTTGCAACGCATCTGAAAATATTTTGCGAAAGTCCATTGGAGACGGTACTTGCTCCATCAGGTAAGCCTTCTGCTCGTTTTTCCCCTTTGTCATGTAAAAAAAAGATGTCGCTAGCGTCTATTTGTTCACTTTAAAACATTTCTCTGTAAGCCTAATTCCGATGTCCACACAGACAAAGTCGCGGACAAACTATAATCACTTTAATTTTTAAACGACAGTTTAAATCATATACAAAAGAAATTGAGTACAAATTAAATTCCCAATAAAATACAATTAATGCATGAATTAATTAAAAACTTAAATTTATTCATGATATTCGTACGATAATTACAATTGATACTGAAATTGCAATTAATTATACCGAGGATTAATATATTAAACGGTACTTGGAACATTTATTTCACATTTGAATGGGGAGTAACAAATAATAATGTTAATAAAAAAGTTTTATAAAATGTACACTCACAAGAAATCACACGCATACACATATACACAAACATACGTACACGCCAGCACACACAAATGTACACCCACGTATAAGCACTCATAAAAACATAAGCATATGTACACAAGCACACCCGTATTTATACACACAAACACCCATAAGTACACTACAAACAGAAGCATACATACACACACACATATATACACACAAACACACACATTCACACACAATCAAAAACAAAGAGACATCTATCTCAACCTTATAACACAGTCCTCATTTTCAATCGATCAAAAACTCCATATGTGCAGGAAAGTTTTTTAATGTCTGCAATTTTCTAAGTCTTTCA